TTCAGAACAGAAGGAAAAGGAGACTCATGAAGTTAAGATTTAGCAACACAAATAAGGTGTATTAGGTTAGTTTAACAGCAGTTTATTCCAGAAACTATGAGGTTTGATTTTTTAAAAAATCCTATTCCTTTAACCAAGGACTAAGATCTGAGTTTCAAGGAGAATAACAGCAGAGAATTAAAAATATATTTCTTATCCTTGTTCTTAAATCTGTTATTTTTAAGTGTCTTGGTTTTATTTACCTGATGTTGATTACCTAACTTAATTAGTATAATACAAGTTAGGGAGTATATTCAAAGTCTCCACATTGTAAGATTAATCAGTAAATTAGATATAATTTGGGCTCACTGATAATACATTATAATTGTTTATTAATTTGTTTTTATCTCTAAGAGACCTAACCCCTTTTAGATTAGTCATTGTACTTTTACTCCCATGCATAAATATCCATACACAGATATAAAGTCTTACACTTATAATTTATTAAGTTATTAACCTATAAATATTTATTTGCAAGTTCCTAATCTAGAACACATGTATATAAGATGAAATAAAGTTACATGCATCCATAGTTTCATAGTCATTAAAAAGAACTTTAATTCATAATTGTATATAATTAAATATTCATATATATATATATATATATATATATGTTTGGCTACATGACAAAGTATTATGAGGCCTTAATGGTAATACAATTCATACATATATAGATAATATATTTCTGATGTATATTTAATTGTATTTGGAAATTAAAAGTAAAAATAGTAAGATACTAGATCATATACGTAGCATAATACAATGTTTTTAAGTTAATGGCATATTATAACAGCACCAAAGCCACTGGTTGAACAAATAAAACAAATGTTCATAAGTACATAAAATAAAACACATACATATGTATACTTTTATACATTTGTCTTTATAAATAACTTATGTTATTAAGTCATTTTTGTGATGATTCAAATAAAGGGGGCCAGCAGGAGAAAAAAGGAGTGCTGCAAACTGAACAAACTGAGGTCGGGCTTCATAGCAAGAAACTAACCCGCACTTCAGTGGAACTAAAGGGACAGAATGCTGGGAATATCCAGGAAACACATTTTAGATGGCCCTAGAAGTCTCGCTGGGATTAATCAACACGCATCTGCACTCTGTCTGCCCACTTTGTCTACCATTATTGTGGCGACATGCCTTGAAGTGGATATTTTTTTCTTCCTTTGTCCTCCAGTCTTGCTTCTGATGTCTTTCCCTTCTTCTATTGTTCTATTTTCCGTCATAATTCCTTTTGTAGTCACTCCCCTGAAAGTAAAATTGCCATATTCTGACAGATTATTTATTGTATACAATTTCCTAGTCTGTTTAAAAATGTAGTTTTTATCATTAAAGGTGGTAAACTGATAGTTACCACAGTTTATGATTTTCTAGGCTACATTTCATACTAATGTTACCACTGATTGTACTGCTTCAGGAAAGGTGACAATTCTTCTAATCAGTTGTTCTTCCTGGTTTGCCAATAATGAGCCTACCTAAAAGTCATCAGTAATACTGTAGGCCAGACCAAAGAACCAGAGGCCAAGTAGGCAGCAACTCCTCATTCACCCAAAAGTGAAGAGGCAGGATCTTCAACAGATTCTCAAATATAAAAGCAAGTTATGTCTGGAAGGCAACTCTAAGAAACAGTCATTTCCTAAGAGTTTTCAATATTAACAATAGGCAATTTATAAGCATCAACCCAGAATTAAACTTAAAAAAGAGAGATATATAAAATGAAAAGACACTCCAACACAATACAAGCCCAGATGCCCAGCTCACCAAAGGCAAACCCAGGAAGCAATGATTGGAACACTCCAAAAGAGTACCACCTGGACTGTCTGAAGTAGGAATAGCAAAAGTAGTAAAACAGAAGAATAAGTCCGTAGAAATAAAAAGCAAAAAATTTTTTCAGGTAACTACGGAAATGGTGACGTTAAGGAAAGACATAACTAGTAACTTTGGAGGATATACAAAAAAATATATATAGGATCTTAGAAAAATGATGTGAACCATGAAAACCCAACGTTGGAAAGAAATGGAATCCATGAAACACATTCAGATACCCAGACTTAAAACACTGAAAGTATACATAGCAGAATGAGCTACTGTGAGAACTTCCAATAGAAGAGGACAGGATTGCAGTTAGTCATTATGAAAAGAAAGTATTCTTAAAACTAGCAAGGTGCCATAAGAAATCAATTTAGCAGCTGTGAGATGATGCAAAGAAGAATAACATATGATTGATCAGAGTCAATGAAAAAGCAGGAGATAGCACAAATGACATTTTAAAAAAGTCTATTTAGTGAAGATATGGAAGAAAATTTCTCAACAAGGAAAAAAGAGTTTGACACACAGATAAGTGAGGTATATAAAACTCTAATTAACCATGATTTTAAAAATCTACATCTTTCCAGATAATAGTCAAGATCCCAGAAATCCAAAACAAGAACAGAATGTTAAAAGCTGTTACAGAAAAGCAACTAATCACCTATAAAAGAAAGCCCATCAGAATCACAGCAGACTTCTCAGCCCAAATTCTCAGGTCATGGAGTGAAGTATTTCAAGCTCCAAAAGAAAACAATCTCCTACCCAGATTTATGTATACTGTAAAACTATCTTTCAAAATAGATGGATAAATAAGAGATACTTCCATGACAAGTAATGTAGGAAATTCATAACCACCAAACCAGCATTTCAAAGTGTTCTGAAGGACATTTTAGGAAGAGATAATGAAGATTAGAGCTCCATGAAACCTAGCAGAATAAATCTATCAGACAAGGCAAGACATTGAGAAGAGGAGAAGAGGGAATCAGCAAAAGGAAAATAACATGTCAAGACTACGTCGATACATATAATTTACAACCATCAATGTAAATGTTCTCAATTCACCAATCAAAAGAAACAGATTGGAAGAATAAATTAAGAAGCAAGATCCAACATTATGCCACATACAAGAAACACATTTAATTAAAAAAAGAAATTCATAGACTGAAGTCAAAGATAAAAAACAATACTCCATGCCAGAAGAACACAGAGAAAAGCAGAGATAGCTATTCTGTTTTGCAGATAAAATGTATTTCAAGCCAAGACTGATTAAGGGAAACAAAGAAAGTCACTATACCCTTGAAAAGTAAACTACCTAAAAGAAATAGCAATCACAAATATATATATAACAAATGTGTGCCCAACTACATAAAACAAACCTTAACACACATGAAAATCAAAGAAGCACTAATACAGCTATAATGGTGATGTTCACCACTGTGAAATATAGAAAAACCAATTAGATGAAAAAACAATAATGAGATACCAGAACTGAACCAAACTTTTGAACAAATAGACTAAATAGATGAATGTTCTATCCCAAACATCAGAATAAACATTATTCTCAGCTTCACGAAGGACATTCTCCAAAATAGACCACGTGCTAGGTCACAGAACATGCTTACATAAATGCAAAGGAACTGAAATTACTCCATGTATACCAACAGACTATACTGCAATAAATTGGAAATCATTAGCAAAAGAAACCACAAGAGCATCATAAACACATGGAAATTAAACAACACTCTCCTGAATAATCAATGGATCACAGATGAAATTAAAGAGGAGATTACACAATTTCTACAATTAAACAATAGCGACAATACAACATACTAGAATTTATGGTATGCAACGAAAGCAGTCCTGTGAGGACAGCTTACAGTTGTTAATTTCCATATCGAAAAAACAGAATGAGCTCAAATAAACAACTTCAACTTTCTAGAAAAGGAAAAAAAAATCAAGTCCATTTCTTGTACAAGGGAGGAAACTATAAAGGTCAGAGTAGAAATTAATTCAATGGAGACTAAGAAAAAGAAAACAATAAGAAGAATCACTGAATCACAGATTTGGTTCTTTGAAAGATTAATTAAATTGAGACTCTTTTAATTATCCTTATCAATGAAAACAAAGACTCAAACCCATAAATGAGAAATTAAAAGGGTGAAATCATGAAATATCCCACAGAAAACCAGAAAAGCATCAATACCTACTTTGAGAATTTGTATTATAATTGAAAAATGCAAAAGAAATAGACAGATTCCTAGATATATATGAATTACCAAAGCTGAATCAAGAAGAAACAAAAATTCTAAATAAATCAATATCAATTAGCTAAATTGAAAATATGACTGAAAACCTATCAACCAAGAAACCCCCAGGCAATGAAAAATTCACTGCTGAATTCTAAAAGAAATTTAGAGAAGACTTAATGCCACTACTTTTCAAACTCTAATAAATTTGAAAGGGAAGTATTATACTCAAATCCATTCCTGGAAGCAAGGATTACCCTGACAGCAAAGCCAGAGAAGGATCCTAACAAAAACAAAATAAAGGCCAATCCCCCTAATGAACATAAATGGAAAATTCCTCTACAAGATACTGTCAAGTAGAATGCAGCAAATTATCAAGAAGATTATACACAACATAAAACATAGGATACATCTCAGAGATTCAGGAACAGTTAAACATATGCAAATCAGAAAATGTAATACATATTAAAAGAGCTGAGAAAAAAAATCACTTCAATAAATACAGAAAAAATTGCCAGCAACTCCAACACCTTAACATAATAAAATCCCTACAGAAAATTGCAATAGATGAACTTCATCTCAGTCTCATAAAAAGCCATCTATGACAAACCAACAGTCTACCTCATATAAATGGACAAAAGTTGAAAACTTTCAACATAAAATAGGGATCAAGACAAGGATGTTCCTTGACACCACTCTTACTCAATATTGTTTGGGAAAATATTAGCCAGAGCAGTTAGACAAGAGAAAGAAATAAAAGGAATAAAAAAAAAAGGAATACAGATAGGAAAGGAAAACCGGACATGGTGGCATACACCTGTAGTCCCAGTGCTGGGGAAGCTGAGACAGGAGGATCACTATGAGTCCAAGCTGCATAGTCAGATCAATGAATAAATAAATAAATAAATACCAAAATGGCATCTAAAAATGTGAAATCCTAGGAAACATCTAATGGGGTATTAACAAAAGCTTTTAATTAGTAATAATCATGCCTTGGAAAATTCTCATTGGCTATAATACTGTCACTGCACGAAGCTTGAAATAATCTAATAAAGGAAGTAAAAGACCTCTATAATGAAAACTATAATACTCTGGAAAAAAGAGATAGAAGAGGATATCAGGAAATGGAAAGATATCCTTTGTTCTTGGTTAGAAAGAACCAACATAGCAAAAATGACCATACATTCAAAACTGTTATACAGATTTAATGCAATCGCAATGAAAATACCAACAGCCTATCTCACAGAATTGGAGAAAATAAGCCTAAAATTCATTTTGAACCACAGGAGACCTAAAATAGCAAAGGGAATATGGCAACAAAGGCAATGCAAGGGGCATCACAATCCCTGACTTGAAATTATACTCAAATCTACTTGATAAAAGCAGCATGGTTTTTTTGAGGGGGCAGATCTGAGGATCAATGTAACATATTGGAAGATACACAAACAACTCCAAACATACCTACCTTAATTTTGACAAAGAGAAGAAATATCTTCATTGGAAGAAAGATAGCCTCTTTAATAAATGGCTTAGAATAATTGGCTTTTCTCATGCCAAAGATTAAAAGTGAACTTCTGTCTTTTACTATGCACCAAACTAAAATCATAATGGATCAGGGATCTAAATATTAAAATAGAAAATCTAAATTTTCTGGAAGATAGATTAAGTAGAGCTCTTGAAGACATTTGTTTTGGCAAAGACTTTAGGAACAAACCCCTATTTGTGTCAGAAACATCACAAAGAACCAACAATTAAGATTTCATTTTATTAAAAAGATTTTGTGGGGCCGGGGAGATGGCTCAGTGGGATAAGCGCTTCCCTGGCAAGCGCAAAGGCCTGAGTTCAATCCCCAGTTCCACCAAAAATAAGTAAATAAATAAATATAAAAATTAAAAAAAAAAGATTTTGTGAGGCTCAGGATATATCTCAGCAGCACTGCCCAGCAAGTGCAAGGTCCTGAGTTTGATCCGTAATACAAAAATAAATAAAGAAAGAAATAAAAGATTTTGCATAGAAAAAGAAATGATCAACACAGTGAGACAGTGAAGAGGCACCTTGCAGTGTGGGAAAAAAAATTACCAGCTATTCCTGAGATAAAGGACTGATACCTACAATATAAAGAACTAAAATAAATAAATAAATAAATAAATAAAAATCTGACATTCACATTTAAAGGCCTAATCTAAAAATGGACATTTGAAATGAACAGATAGCTCTCAGATGAAAAGGTACAAATTGCTAATAAATAAATGAAAAACGTTGGATTTATAATAATTAGTGGTCATTTTTGAGATGTGAATTAAAGTAACCCTGAGAGAACTGGCGAGATATCTCAGCAGCATAAAGCACTTGCTTAGGTAGACACAGTAATTGGGGTTTGATCCCCAGTTAGCCATGCCGGCCCCATCCCTGGGGTGTGCTGAGATGGCAAATGAGACTGGGCACAGTGGCATGTGCCTATAATCCCAATACTTGGGAGGCTGAGAACAGTAGGATCACTATGAGTCCGATCTGTGTAGTGAGACCCTGTAGACCCTGTACTAAATACAAAGAAAGAAAGAAAGAAAGAAAGAAAGAAAGAAAGAAAGAAAGAGCCAGCCAGCCAGCCAGCCTGAGATTCCATCCCTCCAGCAGGAATGGCTATTATTAAGAAAACAACCAACAACAAATGCTGTTGATGCTGTCAGAGAAAACAACCATTCCACTCTCAGTGGGAGCATAGATTGGTGCAGTCACTGTAGAAATAGTATATGGAGATTCCTCAACAAAACTAACACAAGAGGTTTTACTGGACCCAGCTATTTCCCTTTTTAGTATTTTCCCCAATGAATAAAAAGTATCATTTTACAGCAATATATGCCAACTCAGTATGTGTCCACCCATGTTTACAGTAACACAGTTTGTTATAGCTAAATTGTGGAAGCTACCCAAAATGCCCATCAACTGATATATAAAGATATATATTTTTATACAGTAGACAAGTATTCTTCCATTAAGAAGGATAAACTTGAGGGCTGAAGAGATAGCTCAGCGGTCTAAGCACTTGTCTGGGAACTGCAAGGACCCCAGTTCAATCCCTGGTACTACATGGCTTGCCAGCCCTGGAACCCTGGGTATGTAATGCTCTCTACCAATAAATAAATAAGTAAAAGTCTTATAAAAACAATTCTGAGGTTTTTCTTTTTTAAACTCTATTTGGTTGTTGCAGGGTCTCACTATGCAGCTTGGACTCACAGGGATTCTCCTGCTTTCAGTGCCCCCAGCACTGGGATTATAGGCATGTATCACTATGCCCAGCCTGCCTCTGGCTAGCTCAGCCTGCCCTTGAGGGCAGGGCCAGTGCAGCATGTGATACTAGGGATTGAACCTCGGTCCTACACTTGCCTAAGCAGGTTCTTTAGTCCACTGAGCCATCTTGCTGGGCCTCAGGTATTTTGAAAGGAGCAGTTAATGCTTAAATTTTTTTTTAGCTCTGATTTTTTCCTCTTTTGAACTTCTTATAACTTCTTTGTTATTGTTTTGTTTTTCTTTAAATGAATCTTACACATTTATATCTGGCAATCTGAACAACTAGTTTGGGGATAGCATCATGTGACACAGCAACCATTGTGAATTCCTATTATTTTGTTTGGTGAAATCTTGTATTGTTTCTAATTTTGTTTTCCTTTTTTCTATCACTATTTTGTATTCTTTAAAAATAAAAAAAAGATAAAGTTGAGACACTTCTAGCTTAATGGTTACACCTTGAGACCACACTCTTAAGTGAAATAAATTGGACATTGATACTGAGGATAAGAAACAATTTAAATACAAACTAAAATACATAATAGAGAGTGGGAAAGAGAAACAGAGTATTCAAATAAGATGAGGAACAAGGGAGGGAAGAGGCAGAAACAAAAAAAGGAACAAGGAAAATGAGAATAAATAGAAATAAAGCTTTTTTGTATATCAGCAGGGGAAAGGAGTTTGAAAGGAGGCAAAGGGAATGGGGGAATGTTTAGGAAAGTACCTGACCTAATTTTACAAATGCTTTTTGAAAATCTGCATTTTTCTGAGGGAATCTGGGAATAGAGATACTATTTATATAAATCCTTACTAAATTTGCAATGTTCAGTACATTATGACTGATCTCATATATAAACATATTGATACAATTTAAACTAAGAAATAATGAATAATTACATTCTTTTTAATGTAACAAAATTAAAAAAATAATAACTACTATTGGAAAAATATATAAACAAATGTGTTTTCATTTTCTTTCAACTTTTTTGATTTTTTATTTTCAAACTAAAATGTACAGAAAAAAAATCATATAGTATTTCAAAACAAGATAATAGAAAATTGGAAATGATTTTTATATCACATATTGTTCAAAGTAGTTGTTCAGATTATCAGATATAGGTATTTAACACTGATCAAACAATTAAACATTAACAATTCCTTTCAATAAACCAAAAGTAATTGGTAGTAAAATTATTTTAGTTATTCTATGCCTATATATTTTTTTCTTCTTTCTTTCTTTTCTCCTTCCCCCATCCCAGGTGTTTTTTCCTTTTGAGCAGTTTCTTTCCATTTCACATTATCTATTGTACCTCATTTTATTTACTCTTTCAGTTTCTTACACTAGGGAGACAATGATAGAAAACTGATAAAATTTATAATAGTCACAATTTTAAGCACTTCACATATATTAATGTATAATTATCACAACAATCCTATGATGTTATCAGCTCTAGATATGTGGATATTATTCCCATATGAATAAACTGGGGCAAGGATGGGATAAATAATTTCCACAAAGTTAAAAGAAAGTAATGGAGTGGAAAGATATTAGAAACTCAGAGGCTTTGAATCCAAAATTTGAACTAAGGTTATATGAATATATTTCCTTACAAATTATTCTGTTTTTGCATAAAAACACTGTGGAAACTTCCAGCAGTTAATACATTTTTAACCCAAATAAAAGGGAAATGACAAGTTATGAAATTCAAGAGATATTTAAAACAACTCTAAGTAATAACATTTCTTATAATTTTAATTCTCTTCTCTGGAAGTTGAGATTCAGATGAAAAAGGAAACAATTTTTACATGAAATTAAGAAACATCATTATGTATAGGATTAAATACTCAAAATTTTACATAAGTTGAAGAAAGGATATTTAATGCAAATCTTCATCAAGAATATTAATTTTACCTGGTATGTCACTAACTTACTTTTTACATTCCAATAAATTTATAGGAGATTTGCCTACTGTTAGCAAAGAAATACTTCGTTGGAAAGCTTCTGCACTTGTATTCTGTCAATAAAAGACACCTCAGTTCAAAAGGAAAGGAAATCATGGGAAATATGTCAGAAGCACAGTGAACCTGAACATAAAACGTCAGTTACAAAAGTGATACATGCTGCAAAGTTAGCTTTTACCTTATGCTAAGTCATACAAATTTATTATAGCTATAATGAAATTTGGTGATGTGATCTCAACTTTAGATACCTAATACTTCTATATCTAGATACATCCCAATTCTGGTGTTTATCATATTAATGGACTATATGTGATAGCTTCCCTATTTATAAGTATTATATATTTATCAGGGTAATGTAACATTTTATAAGACAGATAAGTAAAAAACAAAATGCAGGATTTCAGTGATGACACATAAACATTTTTCAAATGTTTAATAGAAATGTTCTCTTAAACTTCAGGGTACCGTATATTGCAGGCTAAAATCTTTAAGTTTTTCTTTAATGAGGTCAAAAATAAACTTTAAAGGAATATGTCATCAGATTCTTATAATCATATGTAAATTCATATCTATATTAAACAAAAGGATAAGTTTTCCTTTTAATATAAAGCTTTTTCGAATCTAGGTTTATGAACCCTACATGTTAATATCAAAATTGGGATATTTGATGAAAAACACAAAAGTAATTTTGAAAGTCCTGGATCTCTAAAGATCAAGGAATCATATGACCACCTGGTTTAGTCATTAATTGTTCAAGTAGAAACTAATAAAGAACAATACAGATGACAAT